CCACCATCCACTCCCATCCCTCCGCAGACCCACCTCTCCAACCTCCCCTGCCCCCCGGCATCTACCCCCACATCCCATTCCCTCCCGAGTTCCACCTGCATCTGCCCCATGCCCCTCATCCCCCCTCCATCGCCCCTCCTTCTGCTCAGGCACCACCTCCACTCCGCGCCGCCCCTGGGCTTGAGCCTTGTGCCAGCCCAGGGTCGGCTCTTGGTCGGGGACACGGGCTGAGAACTTCCGGCCCCGCCCACCCGAGCCCACCCCTCCAAACGCCCTCAAGTCTCTCCCCAACTCTTTCATCCCGCCCCCACCCGGTGTCCACCCGGGGCCTGAGCCCAGGCCTTGTCCCAGCGCAGGACGGGCGCGCTGCGTGTGGGACCCGCCGGGGCCGCAGTTCCGGCCCGCGGGGCGCCCTCCGGAGGCGCACCCCGGCCTCTACTACGACGCTGACGAGCAGTGCCGCGTCGCTTTCGGCCCTGCAGCGGTGGCCTGCACCTTCACCAGGGAGCACTTTGTGAGTCCGCCCTCGGTGGCGCCTGCCTGCCACCCCGCCCCTCTGCACCTGGGGCTCCCTCTGCCCGCGCCCCATGGCCTCCACCCGCCAGCTCATGCCCACTGTGCACTGTGGGCACCCATTGTGCCAGCATATCATTCTCCTCAAAATTCTTAGTTTTTGAACAAGGACCCCACTTTTCATTTTGACAGGGCCCCACAAATTATGTAGAGCCAGCCCTGGCACAGCCGGTGAGCCCATGGACCTTGATCCTAAATAGGCATTTGCGGAGGGCTTCCAACCCAATGGGAGCTGGAAGGCTTCCCGGAGGGAGTGACCTCCAAGCTGAACCCTGCAGCAGAAGTATGAGCTGGCAGGGGGAGGGGAGACGAAGAGTGGCAGGCACCCCAAAGACAGACTTCCTTGCAGGGCTGCACAGGACTTTTATGGGCCCTGGGCACTTTTGCCTTGTGGGCCCCTTCTACCATACAAAATACTCAGAATTATGTCTTAGTATTCTTATAAAATATATACACTTTTGTGTACGTTGTTATAAATACAAATATATTAATATTACGTCAGAACATTTTTTTACCCAAAAGTTTACTTTTTTTTCTGATTTTAAAAGAAATTCAAACATTTTTGTGGGCCCCTAAAAGGATTGTGGCCCCTGATGACTGTCCCTGTTCCCGATGGAGAAGTCAGCCATGCCCCTACTCCCCGGCCACCAGTACCCACAGAGTAGTGTACTGCCTGTGTCAGTGTGTCCTGTGCTCTGGGAGGGACAGTTAAGGCTGGACACTGACCCGACAGGCCCTAGTGGCCCCTGAGTTGGCCACCAATCTCCCCTCTTAGGACAGGTGTCAGGCTCTCTCCTGCCACCCAGATCCCCTGGACCAAAGCAGCTGTAGCCGCCTCCTCATTCCTCTCCTGGATGGGACAGAGTGTGGCGTGGAGAAGGTCAGAGTGGAGATTGAAGGAGCGTGTGCGTGTGCGTGCGTGCGTGTGTGTGGCAGCCTTCATTCCTGGGGCGGGAGGCAGGAAGACATCAGTAAGCTGAGGCAGAGGGCCTGGAGCTGTCCTTGTCACCTGGTCAGGACAGGTGGGCAGCAAGATGCCTCCCCTGCACCTGGTGGCTCGCCCACCCCCCGACAGGCCCCGAAGATGGGGCAGTTCTTCTAGGTTCACAGGACCAACAATAACAGTCAAGAGGCTTGCTCGTGACTTTGCCGAGGCAGGTGGGGATCCAGAGCCCCGCTCGTGACCTCCACGCTGTTCTGGAGAGAGCAGTGTTCACTGAACACCCACTCCCAGGCACGGTGCCGAGTCTACTTCCCCCTCCGCGGGTCTGGAGACAGGGATGACTGCCACCCCGCCTCGCAGAGAAGGCAGAGGTTTTCAGTGACAGCGTGGCCGAGCTCCCTTACGCACTCGTTCTTGTTGTCTGCGTGGTCACCCGTCTTCCCAGTACCCTCCATCCTCAGTGCCTCTGTCCCTGCCCCTCTGCCGTGGGTGGCCAGACCCTTCCTCTGTCCTACAGGCTGGTGGTCTGCCCTCTTCCCATTAGGATTGGTTTCCTGAGCAGGATCAGGGGCACAGGCATGCCAGTGGGTGTGGGGTGCCCTGTGTGTGTGAGGTGCCTGTGTGTGGGGTACCTATGTATATGGGGTGCCTGTGGATGTGGGGTGTCAGGTGTGTGGGGTGCCTGTGGATGTGGGGGCCCTGTGTATGTGGAGTGCCTGTGTGTGTGGGGTGCCTTGTGTGTATGAGGTGCCCTGTGTGTGTGAGGTGCCCTGTGTGTGGGGGGTGCCCTGTGTGTGTGGGGTGCCCTGGGTGTGTGAGGTGCCCTGTGTGTGTGAGCTGCCCTGTGTGTGTGAAGTGCCTGTGTGTGTGGGGTGCCCTGTGTGTGTGAGGTGCCCTCTGTGTGTGGGGTGCCTTGTGTGTGAGGTGCTCTGTTTGTATGGGGTACCCTGTGTGTGTGGGGTGCCTTGTATGTGTGGGGTGCCCTCTGTGTGGGGAGTGCCCTGTGTGTGTGAGGTGCCGTGGGTGTGTGGGGTGCCCTGTGTGTGAGCTGCCCTGTGTGTATGAGGTGCCCTGTGTGTGTGGGGTGCCCTGTGTGTGTGGGGTGCCTGTGTGTGTGGGGTGCCTGTGTGTGTG